AGCCCCTGGCGTCATGCTCTACGCCAATTGAACAACGACTTATAACCGGTAACTGCTACTTCCCATGTTGTTTCAACGCTGTATGCGAAGCTGGAGTGTCCTCTCCAGAGCATGAAGCCTGGGTAAGATAATATGGAGGATAGGCTGTTACCCAGGCAGCAAATCCCCCCTCTCCACATCGCTGAAGTAGTCCAGTGGAAAGGCAAGAGCCAATACACCTGATTCCAACGATGTCACAGGAGTTGGCAGAACAGCACGAATTACCTCCGGGACTCCAGCTCCGGATTTTTCCTCGAGTTTGACTCCTGAAGCCTTTTCCATCAGTGGATATAGCCACAAGGCAGTGGAGGTTTGAAATCAGAGTTTTCCTTCTCCTAGATGGGCTGCCTTCCAGGGCTGACGAGCCCCACCTGCCTGGCAAGAATAAGAATAAGAACAAGAATAATAATAACCAATAAAGAGAGAGAAAGCACACCATCATGCAATCTTGCAGAAATTATCCACTTCCTTCTAGTAGGAGAACGACAACAAGACCTCTCTGGCTTCTGAGGTTTCCGGAAGGGCTGCACACAGAAGCAAAGGGACTGCATTCTTAGGAAAGGTCCCTCGTTCTTAGAAAGCTGGAGCTCGTGTGCAAAAAAAGTACAACGGGTGTGTTCTTCTGCAGGGACACGGCAAGAGCGCACCGAGCTTGGGACATTTTGTTCAAGAACCAGCGCCATTGAGAAACTGTTTCCTGCCTACGTAACCCTTTGAACAGACTAAGAATTTACTAACCCCATACTCTGAATGATGGCTACATGTGGCTGTTAGAAGCCATTCAGTTGCTTTCCCTTTATGGCGATTTTGTGCATTGACATCCTCAGAAAGATCCCACCCTTCCAAGCGCTGCTCAGGCCTTGCAAGCTCAAGGTGGCGGATTCCTTTATGGAGTCAATGCATCGCACATGAGGTTCTCCTCTTTTCCTGCTGCCTTCTTACTTTTCCTAAGAGGGCTGCCTTCCCTAACGCATCTCATCTTTGCAAAGGCACACACAGAGAATCCAGGTGGCCGTCTGCCCACAATTTGGGGATTTAGCGCCAGCACTATATGAAATGGCGACCCACAGAAGAGGCCTCTTCAGTTCTTCCTTCCTTCCACTAAGCGTTCCATCCTTTATTTTTTTTAAAAAAAATGCATTCGTCACAGATTTCACAACTTTGATGCACATTTGGCATGCATGAATTATCCCTACCGCAGAAGATGAAACAATGGCATGTGCCGATTTGCATAAACAGTACTTAATCAAAAAAATGAAAAATGATTCTGGTTGCTTTGTGTCTGTAGAAGCTTATGGGTGTAAGAAGATCGGGAATGTACGTATTAATATCAATAAACTAAACAAAATGGATCAATGGAGGATGCTGGGTCACCCACATTAAATACTGTTAAGAGTACAAGATTGAGCCTTGCCCAGCATACAGTGGTGCCTCGCATCACGACGTTAATTCGTTCCAGCGAAATCGCTGTAGAACGAAAACGTCGTAATGCGGAAATAAAAAGCCCATTGAAATGCATTGAAACCCCTTCAATGCATTCCAATGGGCTGAAAACTCACCGTCCAGCGAAGATCCTCCATAGGGCGGCCATTTTTGGTGGCTGTCTTGCAAGGAATCTGTCCCAGAAAACAGTGGGGAGCTATTTTATTTACCCGGCGGCCATTTTGAAACCGCCGATCAGCTGTCCGAAAATTGTCGTTTTGTAAAGAATCGGTTCCCGTAGCAGGGAACCGATCATCACAAAGTGAAAAACCCCTATTCAGACCATCGTTTTGCGATGCAAAAACATTGTCGTAATGCGCGGCAATCGTAAAGCGAGGCATCACTTTACCTAAATCCACCCTTGGGCTGTGCCGTTGGCCACAACTGGGGATGGGCAGAGGATGGCCCAGAGCTTCAAGCCACCTCAGATGCCATCATCAAACTCTCTCCGTCCCTAATGATGGTTTCTCTGCCAAAGTTATTTCTCTGAGCTTTCATGAGCCCTATGAGACACGTGGCAACCTTGCTGACCGAGATTCCAGGTCAGAACATGGCTGGGGACTCCGAGGAGCTGCTAAAACAGTGGAGCAAAGACAAGTTATAATCAGGGATGTTGGCAAGTCTTTGTTTAGGACAGAGTCCCAAGTCTGAATCTGACTCTTTGATTTTGCTGTTCTTTAGTTGTTAAGTCATGTTCGACTCTTTGTGACCCCACGGACCAGAGCACGCCAGGCCCTCCCGTCTTCCACTGCCTCCCGGCGTTTGGTCAAATTCATGTTGGTAGCTTCGATGACACTGTCCAACCATCTCGTCCTCTGTCGTCCCCTTCTCCTCTTGCCCTTCACATTTGCCCAACATCAGGATCTTTTCCGGGGAGAATTTTATTCAATAATTCCTGCTAATTCGCCATTGATTTCTTATGGATAATGAAAGGTAATTTGAGTTTTCTGTTGCTTGACCTGTAGGAAACCAGGAAATATTCAATCTGAGCCAAGCAATGCATCAGAGAATCGCTTGCGTTTGGCTTTAATTGCAAGACAAATAAGGTTCAATCCCCACCTGGTGGAGCCTCGGTGGTTGCCTATGCAGCATAAATCCTGAACGTTTCCACTGTTAAAATTAAAATACAGCATGCACAACCTCCTGTCTCCATGTGCTGCCCAAAAATCCCGCTTCCCCCCCTTTCTTCAAGCGGCTACTGCAGTCCCAGTACGAAAGTCTAAAATCAAATTTAAAAAAAAAATGTAAGTAGGCGTGCATCTCTAACTTTTCATCTCTATGTTCCCGCCTGCCCCCTGGCATTTTTCAGCTCGCGCTGGTTCTGGTGATCTCTATGGTGAAGCCGACCAGCTCCGCCAATAGGACCGCAGATAGGGAGGAGAGGGGGGGGTCACATGAGGCGCATGCGCATTGGCGGCAGGCGAAGGCAGCTGTTTACCGTTTTTNGGAGCCGGCGTGACGCGCCTGTGGGCGGGGCGAAGGGTAGGGCAAGGCAGGGAGGGGCGGGGCTACCCCTGAAGTCGGAGAGAAGCTCCGGCCGGGATGGTCCTCGGCGGTGCCTGGAGACCATGGCCCTGCGGAGGCCGCCGGTGCCGAATGACAACGGGAGGCGAGGTAACGTAGGGCCTTTCCCGCTCCGTTCTGGGCCGTCGGCCTGAGGCGCCGGTCCCGGCTCGGAGGGAGGGGGAGGGGGAGGGGCCGCCGAGGCCTCGAGCGGGGCGACGCGGCTCTGAGGGGAGAAAAGCCAAGGGGGCGGGGCCGGGTAGGACCACGCCTTCCGTCCCCCTCCGCGGCCCAATCCGAGGGGCCGGTTTCGGGAGCTGGGCGGGCCTCCGGCGACGTGGCCTATCCCCGCTTTTGATTCCACCCAGGCCTGGGTGCGGAGGAGGAGGGGGGGGTAAAGCAGGCAGGAGTTCAACAGGAGGAGCCTTGCCGTGGCACCGGTCGAGTTTCTTTTGGCACCTCGGCGTTCTAAAGACGGGAAATTGGGGGGGGGCGTCATGAGAGCCTAGTTTTTTTTGGGGGGGGATTTATTTATTTATTTCATTTATATGCCGCCCACACTACCCAAGGGTCTCTGGGCGGCTTACAACATTTATTTATTTTCCATTCCCCGAATTGAGGGCCCCCTTTGGGGCCTTGGCGGGCGGACGCCTGGTCGAGGAGCTGCCCCGTTTGTTTGTTTGTTTAAAATAGCTTTACTGTACCTCCGCCTTTCTCCTTGAAAAGGATCCCCAGGCGGTTTACAGCAGTGCTAGACGAGATTTAAAAGTTGAAAACCACGAGTATACAAACTGGTGTTTTCACACCATTAAAAGACAATATTTAAAACTGCCAACAGTGACTCAGGAGGTAGGTGTGTTCCCAACCCCCAAATCTTTATTTATATATATTCATTCCATTGGTATCCCCTTTATATTTACCATTTATTTATTCCATTGGTGTCCCGCTCCCATTAGTGGCACAGCACTCCTCTGGGAGCGTTAGAACTCTTAAAATGGAAAACAAAAAATAAAAATAGAGCTATTAAAACCAACAGCCATAACCCTAAAAATAGACATAGATAGATAGATAGATAGATAGATAGATAGATAGATAGATAGATAGATAGATAGATAGATAGATAGACACACATACCCACACTATTCTGAGCAACAAGCCCCAGGATCGCCCAAGCTTTGCTTTGCCTTTTGAGACTTGTATAATCTGTGAGACCATTCATTTTGCCCATCTTTGCCTTTTCCCCCAGGCTGGGTTTGGAGCTGACCAGCTTTTAATGCTTACTTGCTTTTAAGGGTTCAGTTGTGTCAGAAGGATATTATGACCCACAATATATGGAATTTACTCTGTAGTACATGAACCGAAGTTTGCTAACAGGCACCCGTCTCAAAACAGGTGCACAGCCACATATGAAGCTGGTGCGATCCATGAAATGTGTGCTGGACACGAGATAATGTCTGGGAGAAGACCTCAGGTGATGTGCCCAATGATGGGTTCTTCAAACTGTATAGGTGCTGCACACGATGCAGCTGTGTGGAGTGTTGTGATGAAGAGTTGTTGCACAAAGTCCTGTCCATTTATTTGCGGAAAGGGTATTATTGACTATTGACTGATGTGCATAGTTCTGTTGCACATAGTCTGCAAATACACTGCTGGTGGAGGCAACTACCGTCTCTGTGAGCCTCTTTGCTATCAGCCGCGAAGACTAACTTGTCTCTGAGCCATCTCCACATCCTAAATCTTGGCAAGTTGTGTTTCAATTAGCCTATTCAATTTGCTTTTTAATGTTTAACTTATTAGGTTTTTAATGCTGTTTTTAATATTGTGAGCCACGTTGGGTCCCCTTGTCGGGGTAAAGCAGCCTATAAAGAAAAGAAACAAACAAATAACTAATCCAGGGATAAGGTTGGGAACGGTGCCCCACCCCATACAATGTGTAGGTTCACCAACGATTCTGGGACAACCTGTAGGGAAGAAACAACCTATTATTGCAAATATCAGAGCAGGTGATACTTTTATTGAACCTCTAAAAAAAAACCAAGCAAACAACAGACAGCTGGCTTTCAATGGTAATTCATTTTCTTCAGGCTGTGCATCAAGTTTTTGTGGGTAGTTCAGAAAATTACATGCTTTTAATAAAGTCCCAACATCTCATAGCCATTGTGGAGGCCAAGTTAGCTTTAAATGGATCCAGATGCAGTTTGCAAAAAGTTTTTTTGTGGGTGGGGAGTATGGTTTCTAACTCCTCCTCAGCCAGCAGTTTGCAATTTCTTGCCCAACTCTTTAAACCAGGCACTCTTCCGCCCCCTCCTCTTTCCCTTTGCCATCTTTTTGAAATTCAAAGAATTTCTTATTACTAGAAAATCCCGCTATTGCAGGCATACTTCTGTCCACTCAAGGGAAGACTTTGTGAAAGGGGTTTGTCCTCCCTGCAGCTTTGAGTAGGTGCCAGCATCTTGAGGGCCTGGCTTTCCATAGTAGAGACACCCACACCATTTAGGAGTGAGGACAAGGGAAGAAAAATGGCTCCACTTATAAAATGATCCAAGAGGATTGTGACACTTTTACTTGTAAGTTTTATTTGATGTGTGCTTTCACCAGAGCAGAGGTAATTCGTGAAAACTTGCCAAATAAAACATCTTGGAGATGTTGCAAACCTCTGGCTCTGCAGATGTTTTGAACAACAACTCCCAGAATCCCCAGCCTGCATTCCCAATGATTAAGGACTGTGGGAGTTGTCATCTAAAACATCTGGGGTGCCTAAGATTTGCTACCACAAAACCCCTTGTTTTTCCTTTAACAAATGAGCATGGTTACTTAGCTCCCCAAGTCCTGGCAATCGTACTGAAATAGTGAATGTAAAGCCTCTTTTGTCTTACTATGTTGTCATAATATCAGTATATATCCATATATATTTTTCCTTTTGTGTTAATCTTGGTGTGTGTGTTTCTGGTAGCCATATCAGTCATCTGTTTCCCTTTTTTATTGTTAACTCTGCATTTGCTTTGTACCTTGCTATTATGTGCTGTCAGGGAGGTAGTGACTTACAGCAACCTTGAATAGGGGTTTTAGGAGTATTTGAGAAGTTCAAGGAATGGTTTCAGCAATGTCAAACCCCACTCCGTGTGTTTCCATGGTTGAGCATGGATTTGAACCTCGTTCTCCCCACTTCTTGCCCAACGTATAACCCGACGCACCCCACAGACCGTTGGATGCCAGAACAGTTGTAGTCTAGTTGTGGAATATAAGATCTATATGACTACCGGAATTCTAGAACTGTACATATTAAGCCCCTTAATCCTCACTGACTACCATGTGTGCTGTTTGGTGAACGGTCACTTCAGTGATGAAAGCAGAAATAACTTGTGCACTTTTAATACAGCCTTGGTGAACACTAGGCTATAAAGATGAATGGCATTTCCTGTTCCTCTTGGGAAGAGTTGGTGGCTTAAATTTGTTAGGAGATTGCATTGTAGATGGGCAGTGTCCCCTGGCAAAGTCATTGTGTTGCTTCTTCCATTCGTGTCAGAGTTGAAAGTATGGGTGTGTGAGTGTTTATCATTGGAGACCCAACTGAGGCTTGCCTGATGTGGTGGTTATTCATATCAGGGAATTCCCTACTTCAAAACTAACTAGCTGACTAACTAAAATATTTTTACCCTAGGTAAAGGTTCCCCCTGACAATTTTTGTCCAGTCGTGTTCGCCTCTAGGGGACGGTGCTCATCCCCGTTTCCAAGCCATAGAACCAGCGTTTTTGTCCGAAGACAATCTTCCATGGTCACATAGCCAGTGCGACTTAGACACGGAACACTGTTACCTTCCCATCGAGGTCGTCCCTATTTATCTACTTGCATTTACATGCTTTCAAACTGCTAGGTTGGCGGGAGCTGGGACAAGCGACGGGTGCTCCCTCCGTTGCGTGGATTCGATCTTATGATTCCTTGGTCTTCTGACCCTGCAGCACAGGCGTCTGCGGTTTAGCCCACAGCGCCACCACGTCCCTACATTTTTACCCTAACTGTCTCCTTAAAAGAATCCAAGGTGGTTTTAATATTTAAAAGACAACATTAAAGCTAACAACAGTGGGTTTACAAATATTTAAAAGGATCAAGCAAATACCATGCTAAAAAACATAAGCAACATCAAAACACATTCAAAGCAGTCAGGTAGAACAATCCATTAAAAAAAACCATGTAGGCAACTAGTCACACAGGGAAAGGTTTTCAGCCTGGCCTCCAGTGGGAGGGAGTTCCACAGTCACAGAGAAGGCCCTCTCCCAGGTTCCCATCATAATCCCCTGTGAGGGTGGCGGGACCAAGGGAAAGGCCTCCCCTTCTGATCTCAATGGCCAAGCAGGTTCGTAATGGGATAGAGATAGCTTGGATCCAGGCCATTTAGGCTTTTTAGTTTAGAACCAGCACTTTGAATTATTCCCCAAAATGGATCGGCAGCCAGTGGAGCTTCTGTAACAGGAGATTTGTGTGATCCCTGTTGCCAACCTCGGTCAGCAAACTGGCTACTGTGCTTTGGACCCACTGAAGTTCCTGGACGCTATCCAGAGGCAGCCCCACATAGAGAGCATTACAGTAATCCAGCCGGGATGTAGTTAAGGCGTGTGTCACCCTGGCCAGATCAGATCTCTCCAGGAATGGGTGCAGCTGGTGCACTGGTTTTAATTCTACAAAGATCCTCCCGGCCACGGGGCATCCAGACTTGGAGACAAATCCAGGAGGAGCATCCCCCCCCCCCCGGCTGTGCCACCTGTATTTCCAGAGAGAGCGGTTCACCTTACGGCCAGGATACCTGCAAGGTACACTCTTGTCAGTGCAGCTCCAGAAATCTCTGATACAAAGGTAACTGTGGTAGCCAACTTGACAAGCTTGTTTTGAGGGCAGCTGACGTAATGCTTCCTCCTCCTTTTCTCCAATTTATACGCTGTTAAAAAAGGGTTGTGTTTTTTGGGCTATAGACTTCCTGATGGCAAACAGTTGTCAGAGTAACGTCACTTATTGAAACAGTCGCCACGGCTCCAGTATCTTTATTTTCAGAATTTCTACTTACTATTTCCTCAACCTACTTATTTTGGGCTGGTTTTGTGTCAAGTAAAATTAGGTTCCAGGGTTACATTCAGTAGGGGGGCTATGCTAGTGGAATTCAGCCCTGCCTGATCACCGCGTGTGTGGGGGGGGGTTGTCTCGGAGAGCCTGCATGCCTTCTCTTGCTTTTAAATATCTTAACTGCAGTCTGCAGGGGTTCAGATCATTGTGAAGGGAGGCTGTGTGTAGTCTCTTCCCATGGAAGGATTAGAGCAGAATGATAAGTAGTCCTGCTCGGGTGAAGGGCCAGTCAAAATCGCCCCCGTCCTGAATGCTAAGACGGGGCAGTGGGATCCAAGGGGGACGAGACGGTCTCCTTTGTACTTGGCTAACTGAAGCTGTTGGCTTTTTTCCCCCCAGCCATTTCCTTGTTGTCCTGGAGATGGAGAAGCTGTGCATTTTGATTATACGAACTTTGGAGTTCGAAAACAACAGCTGGTTGTCAGCCGGGTTTTCTTGCCCCAGGCCAGCTTTGTAGCAGAGATCACGACGCCAATGCAAAAGATTTTAGACCCCCGCGAGCCTGTTTTGTGCATTCAGTCCTTCAGTATTTATTTGCTGCCTTACATATGGTGACAGACAGCTTGTGACGGAAGCCACCCTCCATGCCCCCATCTGTGACTCACCCCTGCATGTTAGTCAAGCATTCTTAACAGTATATATATAGCAGTGGTTCCCTACCTTGGGTAACCCAGGTGTTCTTGGACTGCAACTCCCAGAAATCCTGCCCAAAACAGCTAGTGGTGAAGGCTTCTGGGAGTCGTCGTCCAAGAACATCTGGGGACCTCAGGTTGGGAACCACAGGTACGTCGGTTAATGTGCTTTAGTACTTCTGTTGAATCTTGACGCAAGAATGTTATAAAAACAAAGCGACTTGCTTTTGCAACAGTGAAATTATAGGCATTGTTGATGCAGGGATTGTCCGGGCCACACCCACACCCTGCAGTTGCCACCTTCTTCAGCTGTTCTGGCCATGCTGAGAAGGATGAGGGTTTAAGTCCAACACATCTTGGGAGCAGCAGGTTGTGGGAGACCAACTTAGTTTGTAATTTGGATGGTGTTGTGTCCGTGTTGGGAAGGCAATAAACTTTTTTGTGATATGATTTCTTGATGTGAACCGTATTAAGACCGGCAGTACTGGAAGTGAATCAACAGCTGCCAGACCAAAGCACCTGTTAGGGCACGGTGGCTTCCTGTCTTGACTGGCAGATGAGGAAATGGTTTTAAAAACAAAATTAGTGTCTACTCTGTGAATTGTATTAAATAGAAATGGAAAGGTAGGAGGCTGGTTTTTTAATCAACTTATTTCGCTTTTGCTGAGAAAGTGGATTTCACATAAAGGATGCTGCTTAAAAAATAGAAGAGTTGCAGACCAGCCCTTTGGAATACCACAGTAGTCTTACTATCCAGCTCCATGCTTGTTGCAACCACATTGCCGTATAATGGTTCAGTATTTAATATCTTCTGAGACAAGAACCTTACCACATTCTAGGAAACAACGTTGGTTGGTTGGTGGGGTTGGTGCCCGCAGAGACAAGCTGCGATGCTTCTTCCTTTTCCCGGATTGGCTTAAGTTGTTTCTTTAACATAGATTTGCTGCTGCCATGAGTAGGGAAGACCGTGCGTAAGACTCAACTGTGTTTGGTTTTAAATCCACAGGCTATGATTCAAAGCAAAAAAGGAAGGAAACTGAGATCTGTCAGGCCCTGAGCAGTGACCCTGTTGATGTTGCTGCCCTCCGGCGGATGGCCATCAGCGAAGGGGGGCTCCTGAAGGATGAGATTCGCCGCAGAGTGTGGCCGAAGCTGCTTAATGTGAACACGGAGGACCTGCCACCTCCTCCAGGTAGGGCCTCCTGGCTCTTGCTGCTACTTGGTGAAGGTTTCTGGGAACCTTTGATTTCCTGTTTGGATGGGCCTCTTCCAGAAGGAAAGTACAAAGAAAAGCACAGTTCGTCTTTTCTTGTACTGTCTTCCATTAACGGTCCTGATTGGAGATGCCCTTTGCCTTCACCCTTCTTTAATGCTCTTGAAAGCAAATCCAGGAATAACTCCAGTGAAAACACATACACCCCAAGTCTTGCCTCTTCCTAGCTACAGGCCCTTAAGGTTGCATTAATGTTCATTTGGAAGTGGAGCTGGGGCTGAGCAACCTGCTATGCGGAGATGCCACCAGGCAATGTAAATGTTAGATAAGGGTCTTTCTGACAGGAAGCTGCAATTTTAAATCATGTATCTGGCGTGTAATGGCATCTGGGTGGAAGGGACCCAGTTTATAAGCCTTTTTTTTAAATTGTTCTTGAGAGATCAGTTCTGTGTTCGCACAGAGAATATATTTTTAAATATTCCTCGGGATGGAAGAGAAAGCAGCATAAAGCAAACTGGCTGCATCCCCTCCCCACTCCCCAGAGATAATCAGAAGCTTTTGCTAGCATGAGGTGGCAGATTTTTTTTCAGTGCCTGCCATGTATGAGGTAGGTGTGTACTGTAGAAAAAAAAACACCCTGGCATATAATTGGGAGAAAAAGTGATAATGACATATTACTGTAGTCAGTAGTCCGCTTTGTGTTACCCCATGAACGATCAGGTTCAACCATGCCAGAGAGAGAGAGTAAGTGATTCTAACCTGACCTTGTGAGAGGCTTTGCCCTGAAGAGACACTGATATGGTCAGAGTACTGGGAACACATGCTCTTGGGTTCCTCTTAAGTAGGTGCAACTAACATCTTTATGCTTGCATTTTTTTCCCCCTTGGGGCCAGATCTGAAGAAACCGTGACTGTGGCTGATTTATAACACCCCTGTTTCCCTTCCAGGAGAGGACCTCCGGAAGGACAACAAAGATTACCAACAAGTGTTGCTGGACGTGAGGCGATCTCTCCGGCGCTTCCCTCCAGGTGCAGTTGCTGTTCACTGCTATTTCTGTTTCTAACTGTGAAGCCCTTGGAGAGAGCTTTAAAAAAGAAGAAAAATCAGCAGGGGCTGAAACTTGGTTTGGGTTGATGTTGGCCTGCTTGCCACTATATATTTTATTTATTTAAAGTGTTTTTACCCTGGCTTTCTTCTTTAAAAGGAGCCAATGCAGCTAACTCCCTTGAAAGACAATATTTAAAACTAAAAACAACGAGGATATAAAGCTGGCTTACATCATTAAAAGGCCGGGTAGGTAGGGCTCGTCAGCCTTGGAAGGCAGCCCATCTAGGAGAAGGAAAACTCTGATTTCAAACCTCCACTGCCTTGTGGCTATATCAGCAATGTGAAATGGTAAACACAAGCGCTGCTAAAAACACAGTCAAAGCAGAAATGCATAACAATCCATGTAAAAATCCCACTCAGGCAGCCAGTCACTCAGGGAAAGCTTGCCAAAGAACTGTGGAGATGATGGTTCTGCAGGGAAGCCAAACTTTTCCTGTCAGATATCATGACCCTCTAACACAGTAGTTCCCAACCTTGGGTCCCCAGATGTTTTTTGCCCTAAAACTCCCAGAAGCCTTCACCACTAGTTGTGCCATCCAGGATTTCTGGGAGTCGTAGTGCTCTCACAGAATGACAGTACCTCAACTCCCTGGTTTATGGGAATTGAATGAGTTTCAGTCTTTAGCCCAGAGATGCTGCTTTCAAGGATGTGCTCCTATCATCACCATCACAGCTCTGAACAGAGAGGAGAGCCTTGAGAAAGGCCCTCTCCTGCTTTGTCACCAGTGTTTCTGCTCCCCGACAGTAGAGCTCTGTTGCAGTGATGTGGTGTAAGCTCCCTATTGCCTTGGCTTGCAACATGCAGTGCTGTTATTCAACCATGGGAAAACAGAAAGCACTTTTATCTTGTCCTTAGTCTGCTGAGCTGCTTTGCTGGGAGGTGCAGAGAGAAGCTCTTCGTACAGAGGACGGTGCGACTTTACTTGGTGTCCCTGCTATTGGTGGTGGTAGGTTTTCCGGGCTGTCTGGCCGTTTTCTGGAGGTTTTTCTTCTTAACGTTTTACCGGTCTCTGTGGCTGGCATCTTCAGAGAACAGGAGTCAGAACTCTGTCTGTGCTTTTTCTGGAGTTCTGACTCCTGTCTTCTAAAGATGCTGGGCCACAGAGACTGGCGAAACGTTAGGAAGAAAAACCTCAAGAACACGGCCGGACAGCCTGGAGAACCTACAACCACCATTGGATCCCAGCTGTTAAAGCCTTCAAGAATACGTCCCTGCTATTCTTCATTCTGTAGGAAACAGTCTTGTATTCTGCCACAAGGTGTTCATGTTTGCTGGCTATCAGGCCAAATTACTTGCAGCTCGGAAGTTTGGAACCTGCCTGCACAAATGTAAATTGGATTTTTTCCAGAAAAAAAAAGAATCAAAAGAAAAAGTGTGCTGCTTATATGCTACCCCATAATGCTTACAGCACTCTCTGAGCAGTTTACAATTTTTAAATTATACAGGCTACACATCCACTCCCCTCATGAGCTGGATACTAATTTTACTAACCTCGGAAGGATGGAAGGCTGATTAAGCCTTGAGCCAGCTATGAGATCCTGATCCTGACCACAAGCAGAGTTTTGACTGCAATATTGCAGTTCAACCACTGTATCACAAGGCGCTTTGTAGCAAAATAAATAAAATTCATAAAAGGGTGTAGTTATATTTAATTGTGATTCAGGTCAACAAAACGTACGGGTTAGGTCATGGGCCCATCTAGCAGAGTTACTACCTCTTCTGACTGGCGCTAAGCTCTTCAAAACTTGGGCAGGGTTTTTTCCATCCTGCTGCTCCCAACATCCCTTGTAAGTGGAGATGCCTGACCAAACCTAGAATTTTAGCTGTGTAAATATATATATATGTATATATATGTGTGTATTCTATGTTGTCCAATTTCAATTTACTTGTTTTAAGCTCATATCATGTTTGACAAATTTCCCATTATTTCCTGCTCATAATTTATGTATGCAAACTGAGCAACCATAGGACCATTCTATTACATACATACATACATACATACATACATACATACATACATACATACATACATACACACAGTTTGCCACTGAGCTGTGGCCCTTTAATCTAACTTAATTTAAATTAGATTAAAAGCACCCAGAGAGGAGTCAAAAGTACACACATAATTAAATGGATTAAATAACTAAAGGCACTAGAAACCCCAAAGGCAAGGAGAAGCAGCAGAAACAATAAAACCATCAACTTTTCCCACCAGTGACATTCTGATAGATAATGAAACTGAGATGGTCTTTTGATCAAGTGGAATATGTGGCACATGGGTGAGCACAAGTATATTTGTTTGGTGCTTGAGGATTCCCAACATTTTGATAAGGATGGTGTTGAGTCAGAATTGCCAGCCGTCCTTGCAAGGAAACCAGTGAGAGTAAAAAAGTGCTTCAGGCTTGTAGCGTGGAATTGGACCTCTGTGAGATTAATTCATCCTGTTCACAAGGAAGTAAGGGCGGTGAAGGGCCCCCTGCATCCATCGTTCCCTTACTTCCGTCTTCAGCCTGTCGTGTTTCCTTCAGCGGCCAATGTACAGGGAGGCCGTGGTGGCTTTTGAAGTGCAGGAGCCGCCCTGTCGGTGTGTATCTCGATCCAGGTGCGGGATGTGGCTGGGCTGCTGATCCAGCGCCTCTGCTCGTCCGCTGCCGCTCTGAACCTTCCCTGTTTGTTGCCTTCTCTGTAGGGATGCCGGATGAGCAGAGGGAGGGGCTGCAAGAAGAGCTGATCGACAGCATCCTGCAAGTCTTGCAGCGCAACCCACAGCTCCACTACTACCAGGGCTACCATGACATTGTGGTCACCTTTCTGCTTGTGGTTGGGGAGAGACTGGCAACGGCCCTGGTGGAGAAGCTTTCGACCCATCATCTCAGGTACCTACCTGGGTCTCTTCGAGAGCACCCATGCATTTCTCAAGCCTCTTTTGCTGGAGGTGTTTCAGGCGGGGTGGGGGGGAGCTGCTTCCTTGAATTCTGCTTATAGGCTAGTCGTGTTTTTCTAGCCACAGAGTGAGGCTCCTTTGTTTAAGAGGAATGAGCAAAAACGAAGGGTATAGAAATGCAGATAAAGAGAGAGAAACACCTTAATTTTGTCTTTTCAAGGTAAGACTCTCATTTCTTTAGGAATGTAGGAGATGGACTGATTCTAGTAGAGTTTGAAGAGTTTGGTTCTAATATGGCTTTGGGTTACCCTGGTCTACCTTTGCTGTTTCTTTTGGTTTGGTTTAGAGCCTCCTAGAAAATTCTAGTTGCCTCCCTACTTGCATTTGCAGACTATTCAGAGAAAAGGGACACTTTAGATATGAATGGCCTTCCTCCCTCCCTTTCATTATCAGCTCCTTCCTTCTTTCCTTTCTTTGTCTTCCTTCCTTCCTTCCTTCCTTCCTTCCTTCCTTCCTTCCTTCCTTCCTTCCTTCCTTCCTCCCTCACCACACCTTCTGCATGCTTCCCAGGCTTATTTCTCAGTGTTCTCACTGCAAACGTAGTATGAGAAGTGGATATGATCCTGTGCTGAACAAAATAAAAAAATTCATCCCTGTTTTACTTAATGGTTCAGAGTAACAGGCGCAGTGCAGTGACAGAGTGGGGCTGGAGAGAAATAGACGGGAGAGGTTTAACTCCTCTAGGCAGAAGTAAGAGGAGAGGATAGAAGGTCTGATCCACTGAAGACAGCAGTGTAAGCTGTCTCTGTATCTGCAGCCTGTTTCCATTCTGTGATGAAGAAATTGGGACTCTACGTTGTGTACCAGGCCTCCTGGTAAACACAGTTACTGTGGGTTCACAAGTACACAGTTGCTGGAAGTTCAGTTGCCTTCTTTAAGAACACAAAATGACTTTGTAAATCTGGACCTCCTCACTGTAGAGTTCAAGGCCATGCATTTACAGATGGTGCTGTGTGTGCTCCGGGGAAGTGCTTCAGCGGTCCAGTGGTTGCACCTGAAAAAACATCCAGTTTCTCAAAGTCCAGCAGTTTCCACTTCCTGGACAAGTACAGATTTGATGGGTGTTCACGTCTTCTTAGCGACATTCCCGCTCCCTGATCAACGACAGCCTGAAGCGTCCTCCGAGTTGCCCTTGTTCTCTGGCTTATCTTTACTGTGTTCCCCTGGCAGGGATTTTATGGACCCAACGATGGACAACACCAAGCACATCTTAAACTATCTGATGCCCATTATAGACCAGGTGAATCCAGAATTGCATGACTTCATGCAGAGGTAAGTCACGCGGCTGTGCCCCTTTCCTGTAATGCCTGTAATAAACCCATAGTTTCCGGGGGGGGGGGACTTCCTCTCCTGCTCACCTTGTACTCCCGCCTCCCGCAGCGGCTTTTTTGGCCTCCTCTTAAGGGTTTCCATCAGAGTAGAAAAGGATGGGCGAAGTTAGGGATCCTTTCAGAGCCCCTGGATCTCTGTGTCAACATTACTCCATAGGATGCTTGGAATGGAATTAGAAGAGAATTTCGGATGGGGCCAAAGCACCTTTGACAGGTCCTTGTTCAACCTTTGGCAGCTTTCAGGTGTGTGTGTGGGGGGGGAAATGCCAGTAGAGTTTCAAAAATGCATTAACTCAGGGCCACAGGAGGTAGTCCACAAATCCCTCTTCCACGGAGGGCTTCATGGTTCTTAACTTCTGGTTGGCAACACATTTCTAATAGGGCCCATGTTTTGCAGTGTGACCTCGGGAAGAAGTGGTGGCGCACGGGCTCCTCATCTATTCCCAAATAGAGGTTGAAACCCTGTTGGCATCATTGTGCAACGTAAGGAGGAGGGTGTCATCAGCCGTGGCAATTTGTCAGACATAAAACATTTCCGACCCCCACCATGAAGCTCCCACTCTCATCGGGGAGAAGCCGTTGGGGGTTGAAGGACAGGCAGTGGGATCCTTTGAGGGGGAAAAAGGTGGCAAATAAATAAATAAATACTTAGTTTTCTTATTTATTTAACTCCCAAAAATCGCCACCAGAATGACTTCACCAGCAGCAGCAAAGATTTCTGTGTGGTGGACCCCCAGCAGCTTCCCCCCCCCATGAAGGGGGTTCCAGGGGAGCCTCGGTACATTCCAGGGGAAAGGGTGGGATGGTGCATGTTTTACTTCTGAACCATTGTCACGGCTGACGGCGTCATAAGCCCTGTGCCATGTTGTGGCATGGAGAGTATTTCTGCCAGCATAACGAGGAGGCAGGGCAGGAGAGCTACCTTCTCGCAGATGTAGCCATTTCTGCTTGGTTTGGCAGGTTGTGGAGAGAAAACATCTACTACTGGCATCGTTGCATTTTGTATTTTGGAGGCAGAAGCTTGACCAGATGGTCCTTCTAGACAGGGTACCTTCACCTCGCTTGTTCTGTTCCTGGTTTTTGCACAGGGCTGAAGTGGGGACCATCTTTGCTCTCAGCTGGCTGATCACCTGGTTCGGACACGTCCTCTCCGATTTCAGACATGTGGTGCGGTTGTATGACTTCTTCCTTGCGTGTCACCCACTGATGCCAATCTACTTTGCAGCCGTGGTAGGTGCTGTGCGCATTACGCATTGCAGGCGCATTGCAAAATAAACGAAACCAAGCTGCGGCTTGAACAATCGGTGGGAACGTATAAAGAAAATGAGTTAAATTGCTCTTGGTTGCAGGGAATTAGGGATTTACTTGCAAGCTCTCCATACTAGGGAGGACTGCCCCTCTTTGCATATCCACACCTCCTTGGGCTGTGTCTTCCCTGCTTCCTCTTGCACACACTAGTGAGTGGGAGGAGATTATGGCTCACCACAGTTACCAAGCAGATACCTAAACCTGTTGTCGACATGAGGAAGCAAACGACACCCAGAACATCATAATGTACATAATGGTCCTCTGGCCATTTCTAAGGTGAAATGTACAAAATGGGATATCATAGAAAAGTGAAGTGGGAAGGGGTCTACAAGGCCGTCAAGTCCAGCCCACTGCTCGACGCAGGAATACCATCAAAGCATATCTGCCAGGTGATTATCCAAGGTTTTCTTGGATGCCTCCAGCGTTGGAACACTCAGGACCTCTCGAGGTCACTGGGTCCACTGTCGCGCTGTTTTAACAGGAAGTTTATCCTGATATTCAGCCGAAATCTGGCTTCCTGTCACTTGAGCCTGTGGTTGCGTATCCTGCACTCTGGGAGGATCGAGAACAGATCCTGACCCTCCTCTGTAGGACAGCCTTTCAAATATTTGAAAAATGCTATCCTATCACCCCTCAGAGCATAAAGTGCCATCCTTCCAACATGTTTTAACCTCTTTATAACAGCAGCCTGGTTCTTTCTGTCGGCGTAACGGCGTCACCCTCTGCTGCCTTCCTTCCCTTTGCAGATTGTGCTCCATCGGTCAGAGGAAGTTCTGACCTGTGAGTGTGACATGGCTTCCGTCCACCACCTCCTGTCCCAGATCCCCCAGGACCTTCCGTACGAGACCCTTATCAGTCGAGCTGGGGACCTCTTCGTTCAGTTCCCACCCTCAGAACTTGCTCGGGAGGCTGCCCAGCAGCAAGCAGAAAGGTCAGTAGAGGCCCTTTCGGTGGGCAGAAGGGGCCCACCCCGACACATCTTCACCCTTGTAGCGAGGAGCCAGCGCTTGTGTCCTGGCCATGCCACCATCCCAGAAGGAGTGTGCCTTGCTTGTGCCAACACATGGCATGCAAGGGTACATCCTCGTAACTTGTAACTTGGCCTTGAAGAGTGCAGGCTTGTGGTGAGAGAATGGGTTGCTGCTGTCGTTCTGGAGGAACCTTCAGTGCCTAGAGTCCGGATGTTTTAGAGGCCTGCCAGAGAATCATACATAGGATGATTGAGTGGGAACGGGCCTCTGAAGGCCATTGCGTCCAACCCCCTGCTCAAAGGGCCTCTGAAGGCCATTGTGTCCAACCCTCTGCTCAAAGGCAGGAATCCAAATCAAAGCAGATCTTCCAGGCAGTGGTCTAAATTTCTCTTGAATGCCTCCAGGGTTGGAGCGCCCACCACTAATTGGGGGCATGGGTTCCACTGTCGTACTGCTCTATAATTGGGGGCATGGGTTCCTTTGTCATACTGCTCTAACAGTTAGGAAGCATTTCCTGTCATTCAACCCAAATCTGGCTTCCTGTAACTTTTGCCCATGGTTGCCTGTCCTGCACTCTGGGATGATTGAGAACAGATCTTGTCCCTCCTGTGTAGGACGGCCTTTCAGATATAGTGGTGCATCGCTTAACAAGCACACCGTATAATGTCGAATCCACATAGCGATCCCCTTTTCGGGATCGCTAATGCGGAGGCATACCAATTGTTCCAATGGGCAAAGCTCGCATAGTGACGATCGGTAAGCGTTTCACTTACCGATCTTTGCTTTGCGATGCCCGCGGATCAGCTGTTCGGCGGTTCTAAAATGGTCACCGGACGCCCGAAATGGCCACGCGCAGCGTTTTCACCCCCTCCCCTCGCTTACTGAGGGTGCGAAAATGGCTGCCGCTAGGGAGGAAACTTTGCTGAACGGTAAGTTTAGGGCCCATTGGAACGCATTAAACAATGTTTAATGCGTTCCAATGGGTTTTTACGTTCCGTTTAGCGATGTTTTCACATAGCGAGGGTTAATCCTTTCCGGATTAACCTCGCTATGCGAGGCACCACTGTATTTGAAAAGTGCTCTCCCATTGTCAGCCCTCAAGTCTTCTTCTCTCCAGGCTAAGAAGCCGCTCCCTTGGAGCATCTTCAGAGCTATACTGGAGCTGTTGCTTGGGCTAGAGAGGAGTTCCAGGTGTCCATCTGAGCGAAGCAAATCAGGGGTTTCCCAGAATACCTGTAACTTCTGTGTTTCTTCGCACAAGCCTGCTTTAGGTCAGGGAGGGCTGAGTGTGCCTCTCTAGTAATGGTTGGACCTGCACCTCCCAGCCCTGACTGTCTAGGCAATGGCCTATAGAAGTTCCTGTCCTTCAGAGGGTTAATCCCCTGCCCGTCCTGCCTTGAAAAGGGGTCCCTTAGTCTTAAAATTCCTTTCTCGGGGGCTGTCTTGGGCGTATGTGCATAGCTGGGCCTTTGGAATGATGCCTCCCTCCGGTTCCTTTTGTCTCTTCAGAACGGCCGCTTCCACCTTCAAGGACTTCGAGCTGGCTTCGGCGCAGCAGCGGCCGGACACGGTGCTCCGGCAGCGCTTCCGTGAACGACTCCGGGCTGAAGAGCGGGCAAAGTCGCTTTTGGTGACGAAACCAAGGACCAACCGCTTTGTCAAGCTGGCCGTGATGGGACTAACAGTGGCCCTGGGTGCGGCAGCTTTGGCCGTGGTGAAGAGCGCCCTGGAATGGGCCCCCAAATTCGAGTTGCAGATATTTCCTTGACCATCAAGGAGGATGTTCCCCTCTCTCCTGTCCTGTCTGTCCTACAGCCTGAGGCAGGAGGGGCCCTCCCTGTCTGCAGAAGGCAAATGGGACTTGAACGTGTGTGTGTTTTCCTTCCTGGCACGCACACACACTCACCCCTCATCCCCCAGTCTGGAGCCTGCCTTAGAACTTCACGCAGCCCAAGTTCCGCCCTGCTTGGACGCTGCTTTCTAGCCCGAGGCCTCTGCTCTCGTCCTCCCTGAGCATCCAGAATCTCTTCCTGACTTGGAGGAGAGAAGGGTCTGCCTTGGGCCACCGCGGGGTTGGACCACCTCAGTTTTGCAGTGCTTCCGGCCCACTTAGTGGGCCTGTGAACTGTGGCCACTCCGTGATGTTTCCTCCACCCCTCTGGCGGCTGGGTGAAATGAGAGAGGAGAGGGAAACACTGAAGATTTTCAGGGAAAAGGCGGATGGTTCTACAGGACTGGCTGAAATGGGGTGAAGGAAGAGGTGACTGGGATAAGGTTTTGGAGGGGGTTTCCTCCCGCAGTGATTTCCATCCCCAAATGGTACAGCTTGGGAATACGGTTTGTGGCGAGTGCAGAAAACCCAACGGCAAGCAGCTCACAAGATCCCTGCTTTTGAGTCCTTGTGGAAACAAATCCCTGTGCCGTCAGCTCTTCAGTCTTGTAAGCAAAGGATTCTGTTTGGTCCTGCCAAAGCTGTGTCTGCCAGCTAGCTGGCCTGTTACGCAGCTCTTTCTGTGGGCCTGGACTGAACAGGAGCATGTGAGCAAGGTCCGGTGAGTTTTTGCACCTTGTTCCAGAGTCATTTCAGTTGCACTTTCTTCCATCTTACCAAATCAGTAGCATCCCCTTTTTTTCCAGTCCAAAACAGGGCAGGGGAATGATTTTCCTGCTGTGACGTTTAGCCGGCGGCAGGACCAAACTGCCTGGCATTGAAACTCGCTCTTTAAATACTATCTTAACCCACTAACAGAAAATGGACTTTGTACTGTCCTGTAGGAAGGATTCTCCTCCTCCCAGGGACCCTCTCACGAAACCGAAAGCCCCTTGTACTCCATGCATAACGCCCCCCCATACACCGCTACCTCCTTCCTCTGCTACAACCCCCCCCTCCCACAAGTGCCCTTACCGAGCCCACACCACTGGCCGCTGATTCTTTGATGACTGGTGTGTTCTTGGCCTTCACTCAGCTAAAGCAGGAGAAATAGCTTTGGGAAGAGACCCATCCCAAGAAACAAGAAAGGTCACTCTTGGTGGCCCAAGCACGGATCACTTGACTTGGGCGGCTGGGCACCAAGATGCTGGACCTCTGTGGGCTGCAGTGACCTTAACGCCTCCTGAAGCAGCTGAAACCTGAGCGTCGCTTCTGCTGTCTGCTCCAGGCTGGAAGCTGAACAGCTGCTGTTTTTCAAGGATAGCCGCAGAGGAAGTCATAGTGCCTGAAAGACCATCAACAGCTTGCATGGTAGAAAGAAAAATCCTAGCTATAGTGCATGCATTTTCTTTGAGTTCTTGCTGGATCTGGTCATGAACTGGGATTGACCTGCCCAGGGAACAAGGTGACCAAGGGAGGGAGAGAAAAATGCCTTCCCCAGTTCCCTTTTGCTTGCTAGCTCTTCTCTTTGCAAGCCTGGCCCTGGCAGAACCTGGCCCTCTCCCTCTGGCGGGCTTCCGCCTGTTGTTCCTGTCGAGACATTCAACGAAAGGCGTCTTTCCTCAGATCGGCACCTCTGATGGAGCAAGGCCGTGGTGAAAGGGAACTGTGCCCGCCACCTTCCGCCTGTCGCCCTGGAGCCAGAAGTGGCTCTTTGGAGCTCCCCTGGATGCATGCACAAGGTCCCCTCGCAAGGAAATGTCGGGAGCAGCAGCATTTGCTATGAGCAAGGGGTTGGGGAGGGACCGGAAGGGCCTGAGGACAGGCTGCAAGGTCCCTCTGGTGAAACAGGGATGTGAAAGAGCAATATCTGCAAGGAGGGAGCACCCCTGTGTCTTGAGGGCGTCAGAAGGGAGAAAGGCGGGCAAGCTGCTGCTTTTTTTAAAAATACTTAAGCACTTTATGAAAACCAACGCAAAAAGGGGAAGCCCTTGAAAAAGGCTCAGCTAGCCCTTGTTCCAGTTTTCTCACCTTGGCAGGAGATGTTAAGGGCATCTTTCACACTCCCCGTGTGAAGTGTAAAAAGGTCAGCATGTGCCGTTCGGGTCTGAACCTTTTCTGGGGGCATCGACTTCAGCCGTGAGTAGCAAAACAGAGTTAAGACAAGAGACGCTGCCCATCTCCCTTGGTGGTGGTGGTGGGGGCTCCCCTGATTTTGGGCTTCCTGAAATGGAAGAGAGTCCATTTCTTCCATCGGGATTGCCACCAAGTTAGAAATGAGGGGAGAAACCTTAACCCAGATATTAGCAGGCTTCAGAAACCACTACTGCAGTCGATAGGAAGAACTGAAACTGGCATGGCTGTGGAGAAGGGAAAGTTTATGGTTTTTGTTAAGTCAAAGCCTGTAAACCCATCTATATACAGTCGCCAGAATATAGTGGTGAAAGCTTTTTTTTCTTTTTTTGAGGCTGCCCCAAATGAAGTTTGAAGGATTTCCTGTACTCTCCCTCAAAAGAAAAAAAAGGAGACGCCTGTTACAAGGTAGTGTTTTCCCAATGGGACTGTTTTTTCCCTTCTGTATGGAGGACCCGCAGTCCAGGAAAAACTTAGCATCTTGATTTTGCCGATTCTACAACCTGACCTTTCTTAGCGGAGTGTCCCTGTTCATCTCGACACTCGGTGAGAAGCTCTTCCTGCACAATGGTCAGAAAGGGAAAACTCCTACAGATGGAAAATCAGAGTGGAGGTTCTGTCCTAAGAAGGGAAGCCCTAAAAGCTTGGTCAGTGTCTTCGAGCTCTGTGTGTCCCTGCCCCCCCCCCCCGAGAGAGGTACTGCGTACCTTCGTAGGCTGGCGACATGGACAGCCACCTGATTCAGCTGTTTTCCCCCAGTTGCCAGCTGGCCCGTTGCTCAAGGAGACTGGGAAAACCAGTCTGCATCCGGTGCCTGCCGTCTTTCACCGCAAATAGATGGTGTGGTGGGCAAAGCCTCCAATCATCACGTGGCTTTTAAATCAAAGAGTTCCCGTTCCCCACCCTGTTAACACAGACATGCATAGTTGGGTCTCTCTTGCAGGGGCGTGGGATCGCCCATCGCTCCAGCAGCTCTTTGTGTGTCCCCCCCCAAAAAAGTGCTTAACCACTCCTGTTTGTGCAGTTGTGGGCAGGTTTACTGGTTGCCCTGCTGGGCCCCCCAACATAGGGGGCAAGAGGGAGCTCAACTGCTGGTCGTGACTTGGCTGTTAGCAGCCTGCAATAATCGCTATGGTGACGAAAAGCAATCTGCATCCTGGAAAAGGATGCTTGCCGTTTCTCAAGGGAAGGTGAAAACCTGAGTTCTGGCCGAAGGCCCATTCAACTGTTCGTAACTCCAGGGAGCTTGAAGCACTGGGGCAGGAAAAGGGTGACGGCCCCCCTAATGTTTTCCGTCTTTTTAGGGGGGCAAATGAGCAGCTCCTCCCCTGGTGCACTGAGAGTGTGCTGATGGTTTTAACTCCTCTGTATAGTGTTAGGGACAAACAGAAAATTCCAATTTGTACAGGGCTTGTAATTGTGTAAAAAAAAAAAAGAATAAATGCTATATCCTCTTACTAAAGCATGTCGTTTGTGTGCTGTTTTCCACTTAAAGATGGATAGCAAACTTCCTGCCCTCCCTATGCCCTGGTTTTCCTCCTCTTCCTCAAATGCCTTCTCTATAGTAGGCTTTGGTTTGGGGGAGGGCCAGGCGGGCCTCCCCATGGGGATATGCATCTTCAGCTCATCGTATGGTTATTCTGTCATGCTTGCTGTGGTTGTTTCCTAATCTGTGGAGGCTTTCTGCTTTCTTCATGTCAAGAGTCAGGCTGTTCTAATCTGGCACCATTTCCTGAACTGGCAAGCCATCCTTTTCAGAGCAGACCCCACTGGGGTTGGGGAAGCATCAGCGGGAAAGCATTGCTTCACTTCTGACAAAGCAGCTTTTTCAAAATCAGCTGTCGCTGGCTGATCTGATGCAGCCGTTTCTTCCTAGGGTGCCAGGGTGGCTCCCGGCCCTTCAGCCACGCAGCAGGGAAAGGCTGGCTGGCGCCTGACTGCAAGATCACAGCAAAGTTGCTTCATAAATCAAGATGGAGGCTTTGTGGCGGGGGTGATTAACACGGTCTTCGTGTTTCCTATGAAGCCACCTGGACACCAACTTCTTAACAACTTGGGACACCAAAGAAGCTTGAAGTGTTTGCATCCTGAAACCAAATAAACACTCGTGTTGGGAAGCCAACGTATGGCCTATTTCCCCCTGTGATGGGGTTGCAGCTGGTTGCCCTGGCAGATTGTCTGCCTTCATCCTGTTATCTCCAGGTTGAGGGACCGTTGGGATCTGCACTCCCCAGGCCTCAGCTGTGACAGATGAAGGGGGAAGAGGAGGCAAGTCAGGGATGGCGTTGGGGGCACCAGAAGACACAGATGGTGGGGCGAGATGACTCAGGAGCCGGACCCCATCTGGTGCTCCACGGGTGGACGCGTGCCGATTGAAAACCCAACATCTGGGGTCTTGATGGAAGGGTCTGTCGCTAAGAGGAGAGGGCACAGGGGAGAAGGGGGTGCCTATTTTTAGCCCCCCACACACTATCCCTCCTCGCCCCATAAACCCTTGGAAGCCCCAGGGTTCAGTAGGGTTCCTGGCCCCCCAACCCAATCCAGAGGCTGGGCTGGAGGCACAAGGGACTAAAGGACCCATAGCGACGTCCCAAAAAGGTGTCAAGGGACATCTCTCCCATCCCATCGCTGCTCAAGAGACCGTGAAGGGACCAACCCCAATGGCAGCAACTTGAGGTCCGGTAGAAGCAGACTCACCGGCAGGCGGGGGTGGGTGGTTGTCTAATGACAGCAGTCCAGCCCCCCCCAAGGACTCCGAGGTCAGGAAGAGGCGGGGGGGGGGCCTTTGTTCATGCCACATTTTCTGACCATAACAAACTCAGGTTGAGCAGCTCAACCTCTTCAAGTTCATGGTGAGCCCGGCTGAGGACCCTTGGCTGACGCACACGCCGACCTTCATTTCCAGTTCTTGTGGCAAGAGTGCTTCTTACTCTCCTGCGAACCCTGCGGAAAGCACTTCATCTGGCAAACGGCGCCGGCGAGGCTTCTCACTCATTAAAGCTGCGTGCCACAACAACCTTGTCTGGCACAACACGAGACCAGTGACTCAGCTACCCACAGAAGGATGCCTCAGCGACCATGTATTTTATTATAAATCCCTCTTCGCTGGGACAAACCAGGCAAACTTAGTATATACACCACTTTGGTACGTTCCATAAAAGCAAAGTGTTGCCCCATGGCTCTTAAAGCACCCTCTGGGTGGTTTACAATTTTTAATTATGCAGGCTACATATCGCTCCCCACCCCCTGGGTATACACTATTTACCAATCTCAAGACTGATGAAAGGGGTTAAGTCAACTCTGAGCCATCTTCCCATTGAACCCCCTGGGATCCAACTCAGTCCACGAGCAGAGTCTTCACGGCAGTACTGCAGCATAGCTATCGCACCGCAAGGTTCCTATAGGAACCTCAGAGCCCCAAACCTGGTGTTCGTTCACATCTGGTTGATCCCGTGAGAGGGTTCAGAGACCTCGCTTCAGTACCCACAGACTGACCAGTGCATTGGGATTTCTACCCAATAGGAGTCTGGAAGGCGTACATTATTTAATGCTGTTTGTGAAGAAGGGGAGACCTGCTGGAAGGGGAAACCAGACTTATTTCTGGTGAAACTAAAGGGGCCCCTGTCTGCATCAGGTACCCTATGATCCTGGCAAGAGAGAGGCCAGGACCGTCCAGTCAGGACATGAATTGAAACCAGGAGGTGATGTCTTTCTGCGGCAGAGGGTTTTTTTCGGGTCTTGGTGGCCGGAACCTCCATTTGCAAACGCTGCTTTGTTTTGACTTAAGACAAGCTCGGTTGATCAGAACAAGGCCTTCCTGTTCGTATCCTTCCCTGCCAGCCAGCCATCCCTTGAGTGAGCCCCTCGGCTCTCGTGAAAGCTCCCGGTCCTTCCTTAATGGCAGTTCTGGCAGTTTGGGTGACAAGGGGCTCCGTTCATCTTGCACCGGCAGCCCCCACTGGTGTCGCCGGAGCCCTGGGGACGAAGGAAAAACCTGGATGGAGTATTTAGAACAAAACACGGGGGCAGTTGCCAGAGGTTGGGAATGTTACCTCTTTGGACTCCAATTCCCAGAACCCCCAAGCCAGGATGCTGGGACTTGTAGTCCAAAAAAAGAAGAAGAAGCAGCAGCAGCACTGCCCATCCTTGGTACTTCTTCATGCTTAATGATGGGGAGACAAACATCCTTAACCAATTCATGAATTTCACAAAGTAAACACGGATCTGCCTTCTGCTGGCCCTTCCGCTGGTGCTTCCCCATAGGTCTGTTATCCTCCTCCCATCGTTCCACCATCTGCAGGAATGACGGTTTCAACTAGCCCCAAAACTTGCACAGTTTGCCCTCTTAAATGGGGCAGGTTCGGTTTTGACAGCTGCGATTTCAGAACCAAACCTGGGGCATGGCTTTCCTGGGATACCGCCTTTACTTTCCATGAGTGCATTTTAATTCCAGAAAGGTTTTCAGGAACGGTTTCAACTAGTCCCCAAAACTAGCACAGTTTGCCCTCTTAAATGGGGCAGATTCGGTTTTGACAGCTGCGATTTCAGAAGCAAACCTGGGGCATGGCTTTCCTGGGATGCTGCCTTCACTTTCCACAGGTGCATTTTAATTCCAGAAAGGTTTTCAGGCGGTCGGCTAGCGCATGAGAAGGATCTACTGGCTCAGCTAGGCAGCCTTCATGCTCTGCTTTGGCACTGGGCAAGGTCAGAAGGAAACACCCAATGAGCCACAAGGCGGCCGGCAGTTCAGTCATGCAGGGTTTGGGTGGGGAAAGTAAGGCAATGCAAAGCCATAAGCCTAACCACGCTGGGCGATGCACGCAAGGATCCTAAAAGGCTACTGTTCCTTTCCATTCAGAAGCAGCCTATAGTACAGGAGAAATAGTCCATGGGAGCTGGCAAAAGAAAAACAAAGACAACTAGAACCGTGGACTTGGAAGGGGCCTATAAGGCCATCAAGTCCATCCCCTTGCTTAGTACAGGAATACGAACCAAAGTGTGGTTATCTAAATTTCTCCTCAATGCTTACATAGTTGGAGCAGTCACCACATCCAAAGCAGTTGTTCCAGTTTGTCAGCTTCCTTTTTGAAGTGTGGTGTCCAGAACTGGACACCATATACTCACGGTGAGGCCTCACCAGTGCCGAATAAAGAGGAAATCAGTATCTCACAGGATTTGGAGACTCTGTTAATTCATCCTAAAATAATATTTGCCTTTTTTGCTGCCACCTCTCCCTGTGGGCTCGGATTCAGCTTTTAATCTACAAGAACTCCAAAATCCATCCCGCTCGTCATATTCCTGAGCCAAAACCTGGTAGCATCTTAAAGACTAACTGCTACATGTTTATGTGAGCTTTTGTGGACAAGTCCACTTCCTCAGACACGAGAGAGAGAGAGAGAGAGAGAGAGAGCCTGCCAAAAGGGAAACGTTTCTCCTCTGTAGGGGTGCGCCCAATTAACACCTACCGCCGGCCCCCAGCGCGGGCCTCTGGTCACCCAGCAGATCTCGGTGTGGCAGACGGTGCATCGGATCCAGTCGCAGCCGTCTTTCTTCTGGACAATAATGTTGCACGAGGGGCAATGCATGGCCTCCCCAGTCTGCACCATTTTCTGAAAGGAAACCAAAACTCTCAGGAGGACACGCTTGTCGACTTTGCCTCTTTCCAGTTTTGGAAGGCATCCTATAAATGCGGCAGGATAATATGGGTCTGTACCAGTTAGATACTCAGGGGAGGGGATTGTATATTTATATTATTCCCACAGTGTCCACCCCCCCCAAAAAAAACACCCCTCTGTGATGGGTCACTGATGTGTCAGAGAATGGGGGTTCCCAGAAGTGTGAAGGAACGGTGACAATCAGCAGTGACTGAAAACATGACCGTGTAAACAGGACTCTGCAGGGGGGAAAAAAGAAAGCAAGAAAAATAACTTTGCAAAAACTTTGTCCAGTTGATAGAAACCCTCTGGTCCCTTTGGGAAAAACCGAACACTCAACAATTCCCAGAAGAGGCACCCCACAACCCAGAGGAGCCCCAGGCGAGAGATTGGCAAAGCAGCCTTCAGGGCAGACCTATCGATGTTCTCTCACATCTAGAGTCAACGAGGGTGACCCTGTGGAAAGGAACAGGACACCACCCCCTTCCGGTAGGGCTAACCAGAGGGACCGAAGACCCAGAGACTCCTTTAGACTTGAGAATTCACAACTGGATAGTGCAGGAAACCAGCCCGGGAAAGTCCAGAGATGCTGGTTGTTGTAAACCCCCAACCCTGTTATAATAATAATAATAGGTTCTTGTTCCATCATGCCCCTCATCGTTCATGGATCAAGGAACGGAGGAGGGCGTACTAGCCAACCCAGCAATTGCCGGTGGCGCTCCCACGGGGGCACAATTCTAGGTGGTGAACCGGGAGGAAGGGGAAAGACTTAGTGACCTCCCGTAATGGATCTTATTAGAACAGCCGAAAGTGGATTAAGCACTTAGTACCCCTGGAACGTTTCGTGTTGCAGTTAAATTTGAGTATATGTCACCATATGCCGTTTGCCATCCTGAAGATGACAGGACATTTTCCTTGCCAAAAACTTGATCATTGATGATTTTCTTAAGGTTTTTACTTGGAAGCTAAACATGTGAGTTTTTCAGTCTGTTTCATCCGGGTCATCTTTCTCCTACGATGCTCCAAGAAAGCGGAAAGGTTTTCAACTCGAACGCCCGTTGTCTCAGAAACGTGCCATACCGTATCTGCTCGGATTATTCCCTAGCAAGCGTCAGAGCACTGATTCACCCTGTCATCATTTTAGAGGAATGAAGGAGGTCTCCCCCCTGCACCCCCCAGAGTTTTGGGCAGGATGATGTTGGGGCTCTTCTGAATTTCCCCGAGAAGATGATACATCAGGACAGGAGTCACAGGACCCAAAATAATGTACGGGGCATTATGCCTGGGCAGAAACTCCAAACCCAGATCTCTCTGATCCAAGGCCACCTTTATTGTTCAGCAGTGCGGCTTTTCTCTTCCTACTACCCATCATTCCCAGCCAGCCCCATGGGAGCTGGAGTCCGCCCTCTCTAGAGGGCATCAGGTGGGTGTGAACTGGCTCCCAGCTGTGACTCTGCTTTGTGGAGCAAGTGCAAGGGCCCCCATTAATGACCCTGGAGGGCAACCGGCTCCCCCCCCCCGGCTTCCCTTCCCAGGCCGGTCCACGTCCTTACCAGCAACATCTCTGCGGTCTGCAGCGCAGCCTGGTCATTTTGCGCTCGGATCTGGAGGTCATCCTGGTACTCTTTGCAGTTCATGTTTTCGTGGATAGCCTACAGAGAAGACACGGTTTGGATCCTGGCTACCCGTCATCCACACTCAAATTGTAACCAAGCCTTTCTCCAGAGGTGCAACACCTCTGGGGCCCGTACAAACACTGTCACAGCAAAACCGGTCCAGGACAGCATAAACAGGCAGGAAACTCCCACCTTTTTTTTTTTTGCTACAGTAAGAGTTGCAATCTGGGTATCATGCTCAAGAACTGAACTTGTACGTCTGTTGCCAGGAAGATTTGCTATTTAGGCATGGGGTTTTTTTAAAAAAAGGTTTCTTGGACTACAACTCCCATACTCCTCTACTCCAGGAGTTCTACTTGGCAGTCAGGCACCTCAGAGACACCAAGGAGAAAGGTTTCAACAAGAAGGTTTTGAGGCTTGGCTAGGCCTAGCGCCACCACGTTTCCTGTTCAGAAAGGAAGCTCCCAGCCAACACCAGGGCAGAACGAGAAGTCCAGGTGGTGCTAGGCCTAGCTAGGCCTCAAAGTCTTCCAGTTTTAAGGCGTTTCTCCCAGGCGAGCCACAGTTTGGTGTCTGTCTGGTAGAACTCAGAATAGAGCGTTATGGGGTTTGTCATCCAGATCATTCAAAATCCCATCTCTATTTCATTATCCATGGGTACGGAGAGAAGCCTTCAATCCAGCCCTTCCCTAACTTGGTGCTTTCAGCGAGAGGATATGAAATATACTTCTCTCTCTCTACTGGGACTGGTTGGTGGGTGCACCAATATTAGTTAAGGTTTATTTTTTTCCCCTTTTGTGCAGACTTTTTTTAAAATGTTCATAGGTATGTGTATGTGCCGCCGTATTTCACACCCAGTCTCTATTCTACCCAGAAACACATGGGCAGAAATGTTTCGAATGCCCAGTGATCTGCTGGTAGTTAAGTTTGTCTCCTTCCGGCTGCCGCCTAGGCGCTCTGCATTCCAGGAATAGCCCGCACATGCACGCCACACGGCACTCATCTCGGGCAGCCTCTCTCACCTGGCACAGGAGGCAGTTCACCTTCCCACACACCGGGCAAGAGAATTCGTTCACGTCATCCTCGTAGAAGCACCAGCCCCGGCAGTCCGTGGTTTTGCAATGAAAGCTGGATCGGCTGCGGTTCTCGGCAATAGAGACACTCAGGTCTAGGAAGTGCTGATACTCACCTTCGCTCAGGAGCTACAAAGGAGACGGAAAAATCTTCAGAGAAAATCCTTTGGGAGGGGTGGGGGGAAAGGACTGTCCTTGGTTGCCCTCCTAATATTGTTCCCTCAAGGGAAATCGACTCATGCAAACAGTTTGAATCTATGGTACTCATTGCCCGGGGATATTGTGAAGGCCACCAGATTCGAATCCCAGGCTCACACCCAGATTTGCAAATTCTGATTCAGAAATCAATCCGTGAACGGCCGGAAGTTGGTCAAGCCAGCCATTTTTCTCAGCTTCTCCTGGAGGACCGTCCTGTTCAGCCACTCCTTTTTCACAAGGTTGTGTTTGTTTTCCAAAGGTGACACTCAAGATAACGTTTGTTAGTACTGCACAGAAAACCTTGAGACAGTCCAAAATGAAACAAGAGATAATGCTGGAAGATGAGACTCCCAGGTCAGAAGGCACTCCATCAGCTACTGCAGGATAGCAAAGGACACGTACGAATAGCTCTGTTGCTAATGATGCAACTAGATTAAAGCTGAAAGGATGTCTAGTGGCTGATGTGCACAAAAATGAAAGGACAGGTATTGCTGTACAGATGGACATCACCAGATGGTCAATAGAGAAATCAAATAGACTATGTAATTGGAAACAGGAGATGGATATTCTGCTCAATGGAGAAGTAGTATTCTTTCTGCAAAACATGACTGGGATCAGAGTGTAGTACTGACCATGAACTGTTAATATCAAACATTACAGTAAAGATGAAAAAGTACACTAAAAGAATCACAGTGCCAAAATATAATTTTTAAAAAGATTTCTAAATGAATTTAAAGTCCACGTAAGGAAAAGTTTTTCATTGGTCAACTAAATTGACCAAGAACCAGAAGAACTATGGATTGAAACCATAGATATTTTAAGGAAGAATGCAAAAATACAATTTCTGTAGTGAAAAGAAAAGAAAAACCCAGACAGATGATGGTAGAAACACTTTAAATTGTAAAGGATAGAGAGAAGCAAAAGGAAAAGGTGACAAAAATAGTTTCAGAACCCTGAATGCAGCTTTTCAGCAGCTCTCACATAGAGACAAAGAGAACTACCACAACAACCAGTGCGAAGAGATACAGAACCCAAGCAACAGGGGAAAAACAAAATATCTACTCCAGAGGAATCAAGAAATCAAAGGAAAATTTAAGCCTAGGTTAGGAATGCTGAATGACCAACAAACAAGTACAATACCTGACCAGGAGAAGATAAAGAGAATGTGGAAACAGTATACTAAAGACTTATACAGAACAGATAAAAGGATGACAGACTCCTTTGAAGCGGAATCCTATGACAAAGAACCTGCAGTTCTAGAAAGTAAAGTGAAAGCTGCGCTGAAAGTACTAGGAAGAAATAAATCACTAAGAGTAGCTGGAATACTAACAGAACTATTTCAAGCCACAGAGACATAATCTGTCAAAATCCTTACAAGAATACGCCAACAAATATGGAAAATAAAACAATGGTCCACATTTTGGCAACAGTCAATAAACATTCCAATTCCCAAGAAAGGAGATGCCATGGACTGCAGTAACTATAGGATCATTGCTTTAATTTCCCATGCAAGCAAAGTGATGCTCAAAGAATTGCAGCAAAGGTTTTTGCCTTATATGGAGAAATGCCTGATGTTCAAGCTGGATTCCGAAATGGAAGAAGCACTTGAGATCATATTGCAAGTACTTATCGGCTACTGAAGTGCTTTAGAGACTAAAGCAAAGGCTTTGACTGTGTAGATCATGAGAAATTATGGGTTGTTCTGAAAGAAATGGGTGCACCTCAGCACTTGATTGTCCTGATACATACCGTATTTTGCCGTGTATAAGACAATACTTTTGCTGTCCTGATACATACCATATTTTGCCGTGTATAAGACAATACTTTTGTCTAAAATCTTTAGACAAAAATTTGATGGTCACCTTATACATGGAAGTAAGCTGAGAAAAGAACAAAAACAAGTGGAGGGGGAAAGGGATCAAAGTGATCGTGCAGTTGCAGGATTGCTTTGATCCCTTTCCCCCTCCTTTTGCTAAGCCCCGTGGGGCTTAGCAAGCGGAGGGGAAAGCAGCGATCAACGCGTGGCAGGATTGCTTTGATCCCTTTCCCCCTCCTTTTGCTAAGCCCCGTGGGGCTTAGCAAGCGGAGGGGAAAGCAGCGATCAACGCGTGGCAGGATTGCTTTGATCCCTTTCCGCCTCCACTTGCTAAGCCTTGCTTATAGTTTTTTAATTTGGGGTTAGAAAAAAAAGGGGGGTCTTATACATCGAGGCGTCTTATACACGGAAAAATACGGTAACTTGTATTGTGGACAAGGGAGGGGTCAGACAAGGGTGCATCTTATCCCCTTATCTGTTCAATCCATACACAGAACACATCGTACAGAACGCCAGACTAGATTCAGTTGAAGGAGGAGTGAAAACTGATGGAAGAAACATCAATAATTTACCGTAAAATACGCAGATGGCCTCCTCTTACTGCCAGAAAATCACAATGATTTGACATTAACTATAATGTAAGTGAAAGAAGAGCGTGCCAAAGCAGGACTGGAAATTAACATTAAGAAGAGAAAAACCATGACTGTGGATGAACCATAGAGCTTCATGGCTGACAATGAAGGAACTGAAATAGTGAAAGGTTTTGTATACTTTGGTTCAATCATCAATCTAAAGGGAGACTGCAGACCAGAAACCAGAAACAGGCTGAGACTCAGAAGGGCAGCGATGAAGGAACTAGGAGAGATCATCAAGTGTCCAGATGTGTCCCTGGAGACCAAGACCGTCCACGTTCTTGTATTCCCTATCACTCTTGTATTGCAGATGAGTTAGAAATGTGGTGCCGGAGGAGACCGTTGCAGATATCCCGGGCTTGACAGAAAGATAAACAAGTGGGTCCTGGATCAAATCAAGCCTGAATTATTTCCGGAGACAAACATGTTGAAACTGAAGCTCTTCTACTTCGGGCACATCCTGAGAAGGCAGGCTTCTCTGGACAAGACCCTAATGCTGGGAAAGGTGGAAAGCAGCAGGACAGAGGAAGACTGAATGTAAGATGGGCTGACCCCCTAAAGGAAGCCACAAGCCACAAGAGCTGAGCAAGGCGGATAAGGGCAGGATATTTAGGAGATCACTCATCCGAAGGGTCACCAGAAGCTGGAGGGCACGTAACAACAACCCGCCTAAAATGAATTGACTCAGTAAAGGAAGCCGCAGGCTTGAGGTTTTAGCAAGACCTCTGAAGGCCTCTAATGCATAGGGTCCCCACACATTGGAGGTAGCATGATGGCATATCACAGCATCTGCTTGCAACGTCTGGAAGACACCACAAGGTGGTCTGCCCCTCTCTTCTCTTGAGAGGAGATAGGAAAAGCCCATCGGATGCCTCCGCCCTCCCAGCTCGGCCGGGCAACCCACAGGAGGCAGTTTTTTCTGCCCAGGTCCCCCCCCCCCGCCTGCCCTACCGCTTTGACCTCGCGCTCCAGCAGGTGCGATGGACAGGAGTAGTTCTCATCGATGTAAGGGCAGGACACCTCCGGCTCCTGGCTGTTGAGGATGGTCCCTCTCAAGCATTCCCTGTGAGGAGGGAGGAAGGCGGCGAGGAAACAACGGTGGGAAGAGCAGCCGTCTGCCGGCCTGTTTCCCCGCCGGATATCCAGATCGACGACTCCCGTTAGCCGAGTTGGCTGGGGAATCACGGACGGTGCTTGTCCACCCCATCCGAAGGGGAACGGGCCGAGGGGAAGCCGACTTAAGAGCTCCCACACAGCTCCAGTGCAGAAACACAAGCTGCCTTTTGCACACCCGTGCCACAAACATGCGTGTGCCAAGCACACGTACGTCTCAAAGCTGCCTTAGTCTCTTCGGCTCCCATCTTCAAGCCGTGAATCCAAAGTAGGGTGAGACGTTTCGGTTCCACAGCCATGAGCCGGAGCCCCCCCCCCTCTGTTCCATCATTTTTTTCTGGGATTTTCAACTATGGCAGCAGCATGCGTGGTGCAGAGGTGTGGGTTTAGGACTACCCTTCCCAGGATTCTCTGCCTGGGGGATTCTGGGAGTTGTAGTCCAAAAAAAACCCATAAACACCTGCACTTCAAAAAGCAACCATCACTAAAATGACCTGAAGATTCCTATCAAAAAGGTAAGGGGTTGGAACCTTAATGGGACCGAGGCTGTTTCAGACCGAGGGGTGAGCAGGATACTCCGTGGGTGATCCTTTGCCACCCCTCGCTTCATTCCCCTTGATTTGGGCTTGTCTCGGTTTTTACCCTCGGCTAGCTAGCTCAATGAAGGAGGAAGGACACCTTCCCAGAATATCTTTAAAGCCAGCCTTGAGGCTGCTGGGGCAATCCGGCCGGGAGTCGCAAACAAGCCCCCTCTGGCCTGCAAGACCTCCCACCACCACCCCACCCCTTTTGGTTCAGCAACTCACAAAGACTTCTCTCCGCTCTCCCGTGTCACGCCAGGAGGAAGGGAAGGGAGCTGTGCTGGAAGGTGTGCACATCCCATTTACAGCCAGGGTGTTCACTCCCCTGGAACTTTTGGGGACTCCCTGGGTCCTTGTTGTCTGCACACAGAATGTACACATTTATGGATCGGTGAGAACGTGAGTTGTATACGTGCCTTTGAATGCACGTGGCATATGTTGCATCTATGCCTAAATGTGTCTTATGGGCATTGTGTGCATTTGTGTAGGTGTGTGAGAGAGAGGCTGGAGGAGACCCTCTGCCAGCCCTCACCCCTGCCCAATTTGCTTATGGCCCAACCCTGCGTCCTTGCACACAGTCCACAGAAGGTCACCTGGCCAGAAAGAAAGGGAGCCATTCACTGTGAAACGGTTCCTTGCCGCACTGCGAGCCGAGGATCATTCTGCAAATCTCAAGCAGGCACCAGCGGCCACCGCTCGGGGGTCTTCGGGGAAAGCTTACCTGCAGAAGGAATGCAGGCATTCCCGCAAAGTCACCCCCTCGCCCGGTGCCAGCACCGCAAAGCAGATCGGGCACTCCATGGCCCCATCCGAGGGCACCAGGCTCTGCCCATCCAGCTGCAGGAACTGCTGGTAGTTTTTCTGCCTCTGCTGTTCCTGGGCCTACAGAGAGAGAGAGAGAGAGAGAGAGAGAGAGAGAGAGAAATTGGGTGATTATGGTGATCCGTGTGTTCTTGACTTTCAGGAAGTTCTCCCATCTTACACACACACACACAGAGAAAGAGTTTCCGCAACTGGAGTCGAACTTCACGGCACCTATTCTGGGCGCAGAAGTTTCCAAATCTGAACAAATCTGGACACGCCTCATTTAAGGATCCCACATAACGGGTGCTGGAAATATTTTTCTCTTCCCAAGATTATAGGGAACCTTCATCAACAGCAGCAGGCAATGATACTGGGCTAGAGGGAGACCCTGGAATAGTGGGGTGGGGGCTACCGCTTGCAGGACCCCCACAGCATCGTCCATGCCCCCACCAATTGTGGAACTGGGGGGGTCCAAAATTACAAAAAGCGAACCTTTCCCCTTGGTCGAGCTTGTGATACAGCACCTTTCCGTGTTCATCTGCCTGCAATACAGCCTTGAACCACCCCCAACCCAGTGCCTGTTTTTCTTGAAACACCCTCCCGGGGCGGAGGGGGGGCCTGAAACAGCCCCTTCACCCGCAGGGGGGGGCAACCCCTGAGCCATCGTTCCTGAGTGTGCCCCACCGTCGGTCTGACCTGCTCGTACTGCAGTGCGGCCTCCTTTTCCTTCTGCAGCCACTGCGCCTCCTCGGCATCCGGCCGATAGCCCTCCGGGACGGCGTAATCCACAGGGCGCTCCGTGCAACACATCTCGCAGCCCGGCCGCAGGGGTGTGTTGACGTAGGTGCACGTCGGGCACTGCCAACCCATCTAGGAAGCCGCCCACGGAGGAGAGAAAAGGAGAGAGGAGGGGGGGGTCACCCGAGGGCAGAACGTCGGGCATTCCTGCCTGCACCCGGACGCTCTCCCAGCCCCTTACCTTTGGGGGGCTGATGGGGGGAGGCAAAGCAGCATCCTTCTTCTCTGCCGGGTGATCCGAGAGGTCTGAAGGTGCCGCCCCAGTCAAGGCTTCCGCTTCGGCCATTCCCCGCGGCACCAAGACCTCCTCTTTGATGCCTAACTCTGATGGGGTTGCAAAAGAAGGCATAGGCAAGCAATGATACAAAGGCCCGTTCGGCTTCGTCCGGGTCGAGAGCCGAGACCATTCGAAGACACAGACGGTCATCGAGGGACACCCCCTCGGCCACCCTTCAAAATCTAAGATGGGGAAGAGACTCCTCTCCCTGATGGGGCAAGCTGGTAAGGTGAACGCTGTAATTCTCCACGTCCTTGATTTTCTGGTTTAAAAAGGCTCTCTGAAGGAACGCTACCTGTCACCATGTTCCACGGGCCCACGTGTGGCCCCCACATTTCCCACGCCCGTCCTACGATTACAGTGAATTCTACGCCTCTGGATCTGTTTCCCGATCGGTGAAACAGACTTGATCAAAATTTCAGCCACCACCCAGCCAAATCCAATGATTGCCACTTGAGTGACCCCCCTTGGCTGAGCGTTCCAAAGCTCTGGTTTGGATTAAACCTCCAGACCCTACTGTCCCGGAAAGCCTAAAGAAGGCTCAGCCGCCCATCACCTCACAGGACAGGTCACGGGAACAAACTGCAAGGAGGCAAGGTCTCCTGATGCCCCTGACATGCACCCAGCCCGGTGTCGTTTCTGGCCACCAGTTTCCAGGAATGCCCTCCGGATGCGGCTTTCTGCAACGCCGGGAGACCCTGCCTCTTTGGCAGACCCACCCTCAACGTCACAGCCTCACCTTCCAGCTGGCGCCGTTGGTGGTCCTTCTCGAAAGTCTCTTTCCTCAGCTTGGCTGCCTTGGCAGAGAGGAGGTAGAGATAAACCGCGTCACCGTCTCTCTGGATGCCGTGATAGTGGAGGGTCTCGTGGTCCCGAGGCAGCCTCTGCCTGATCACCCACCTCTGGATGCTGGGAGGGAAACCATAGTGCAGAAACATCTGGGGCCGGGAGAAAGAAGAAGCGGCGATCAAGCCAACGAAGCAACACGGGTCGCGATTTGAGAAACCTAAGCTTGAAGCCAACAGGCAACTGCAGCTAGAGTCGGCCCACGGATTCAACAGGATTTACCTAAGTGTCAGTTTGCCCCTTGGCAAACGGATTCCATGGGTCCTCTTTAATTAAGACCAAAAACTGGATTCCAGCGGCTTGGAGTCTTGTGGCAATCAAAAGACTAACAAATATTGTTCAGCATTTGCTTTTATGGGCTACATCATGGGGGAAGAACTAAGAGGGTGGCTTCAGTGAGATGACCTTTGGAGGTCCCATCATCAGTTTTTGATCTCATCTGTTACTCTCTTCTTCATTCTGATGGCACCCTCCGTTTGACCTTGTGCGGACAATGATTTTTGCCACAGGGGTCAGACCAGCTTCTTGTACATAAAGAAGGAGAAGCGTTAGCTTGAAAACAAACCAGGAAGCCAGCAATACCTATTGAAAACAATTGTGTTTTTACCACCAAAGCATGACCAAGAGATTTTTCCCGAGCAGGTGAGTAGCCCACCAGTTTGCAGGAGAGGTTTTTTAAAAAGGTAATCTAAAGAGGATTCACTTCTTTACGACCCAAAGGGGAGAGAGAGGGGGGGGAGGCAGTAGAAGAGAAAGCAACAGAAAGAGGAACCGATTAGGGTTTTTTGGTGTCGTAAGAGCCTATGGAACTGCCAGAGAGCTCAGTGGTTTAGGGCATCTGGCTATGGAGCCAGAGGCTGGGAGTTCGATTCCTCCAATGGGCGTCCTTGGAAAGGGCTGGACTTCATGATCCCGAGGGGCCCCTTTCCATGTCTGCAGTTCAAAGTTCATTCAAAGGTTACAACAGATTGGTTTTCAGCTCTGACAGGGCAATGTCGTGATACCTGGCCAAAAAGCACACTCCTCAAAAGATTTCCTAATCTTAAAAAAATAAAGATTCCATTTTATGCACATAGCAGATGTGGTGTTCCCAGTTCTTGCACGATTCATGATATAGTCAGTGCAGAAGATATAATTTTGAAGCAGTTAGAATTTCTGGCAGAGGATTTGGGAGCTAATCCTACCGGGGCCAAAGGACTGTCATTAGCAGGGAGAACAGAAAGCGATTTGGCTGAATCAAAAAATGGATGTTGTCAAATTTTATAGTAAAGAGGACAGGGAATTAATAAAAGAGCCCAGGCAAAGCTCATTTGTAGACCTTAAGAAGTGTCAAGATGCTATCAATCAGTGGTGTCCAACCTTGGCCCTCCAGATGTTCTTGGACTTCAACTCCCAAAATCCTGGCCAGCAGAGGTTGTGGTGAAGGCTTCTGGGAGCTGTAGTCTAAGAACATCTGGAGGGCCAAGGTTGAGGAACACTGCTATAAATCTTCCTGCTATCGCCCTCAAGTATAATGAGTCAAACCTTTCTCAAAGGGAATGACATATCTAGAAAAGAAAGAGAGGAGTTTTCCACAGAGGTGTGTTCTGTCGAATCATCCACCAGTAAATACAGTTCTGGAAATTTTTCTTTTAATACTTTCAATATTTTGAGACAGTGGATAAGTGAATCAGTGGATACCAATGCTGTGGATACAGGGGCCCTGCTGTACTTTAAAAAGGCACATGTATAATTTACTGCCCTTCTTGGCTAACAGCACCCCTCAAGAAGGCGAGCGTTTGCAACGTACCCCTCACTCATCGGCTTCAGGCAATGCCTGTGGCTCGCTTGCAGCAGGAATGACTCTTTGCAAAGCGGCCCGGCCCTCCCCAGCCTCTGAACCCAAGGTGGCTCCCATCAGCATGTGTTGAAATGAGATCCACACACATCAAACATCCCTCACCATGTCTTTTAGGGAAGCCACTGTCATGCAGGGTTGCACTTGCAAGTAAATGGGGATGGTGTTCATGTGAGCATCTTCCACGCCTACCCACAGCCTAGGAGGAGAAAGGGAAAAGAGTTGTGAGAAAGCCATCTTCCACCCCGCCTGCTAAAAATGGTCCCTGCCTACAGCCACTGATTCTCCTTGGAGAAATTCTCTCTTCTCATTCTACCATCCTGTCCAATTCTGGAAGCTAAGCAGGGTCAAGCCCGGTTACTTCTTGGATGAGAGACCTCTGGGAATACCAGGGATCTCAAGATAAGTCTGGAAAAGCCTCCTCTACCCTGGAGAACCACTGGTAATACCGGGCAGGATGGATGCATGATCTGACACATTAAAAAGGCAGCTTTCCATCCACTCTGGGGTTTTTGGCATAGGGAGGGGTCCAGAAATGTGGTTTTTGATGTTCTCCGGACTGAGTTAGTCACCTCTCCCACCATAAGCAAATCCAAGATTATTTCCTCTGCTCTTTCAGCCTCTGGAAACCTGGGCTCAGCAGAAATGACTCTGTTGTAATATTCTAGAGCTTGGAAAAATTATTGCTTTGGGCTACAATTTCCCCCAAATCCCCAGCCACCATTTCCAGCACCCAGCTTGGGAATCCAATGAGCCGTAACACATTTTCCACTTGTGTTCTGAACTCCCCCGAGCTGTTTCAAACGTTGTTTTCATCTCCTGAGCATCTCCACGCCCAACAGGTTGGGATTCCCCCCCCCCACAAGGACAACAATCCCACGAGAATGGGGCCGTATATAGGCTCAGCTCTCTGCACGTCACCAGCGATTACGCAGTCACCTGATGGTCTGTTTGGGTTTGGCCTCCTCTTTCACCTGCACCACGATGGGGACGCGCTGCTTGGCCAGCCAGGTGGCGCATTGACGGGCTGTCTCCTTGTCACCGGCAGAAATGGCTTCCGCCAGTCTTAGGGCCTGCTCCTCGGCTGCAAACGAGAAAGGAGGAGGCGTTCACAGAATCACTATTGAGTCCAATCCCCCCTTGCTCAGGGCAAGAACACAGATCAAACCTGATGATCTAACTTTCTCTTGAATGCCTCCAGCGTTGGAGCGCTCACCACCTCCCGAGATCATGGGGTTCCATTGTCGTACTGCTCTAACAAGTTAAGAAGTTTTTCCTGATATTCAGCCTAAATCTAGCCTCCTGTAGCTTGAGCCCATTATGGCCTGTCCTACTCCTCCGCTGTATGACAGCTTTTCAAGTCTTTGAAAAGTGCTGCCCTATCTCCCCTCCGTCGTCTTTTCTCAAGGCTCAACATGCCCAGTTCTTTTAGTCTTTCCTCCTTGTAGGGCTTGGTTTCCAGTCCTCTGATCCTCCTCGTTGCCCCCCACAACGGGTTCTCCTGGTCAATTGGCCACTGTTGAGTTTTTGGCCTCACACTGGCCGATTCACCTGGGGAACTCACGGCAAGAGAACATTTCACGTGCTTCATGCTCGAGTGCAGAAGAAGCCAACGGGACCTCAAATTCTCCCAACGGTTCTTTGAACAAAACACACTGTGGGTTTCCCCAAGAGAGCAAGAAGAAAAGGATTTCAAAAGGAGGTCCTGGGAACAAAGACTATGTAAGATTCCAAATAGAGATGGGCACACGCTCCTGGTTCGGTGGTTCGTGCCAGTTTGTTTATTGGACGAACGGGTGGTTGGTGCTTCCTAACTCCGCCTCCTCCGGTGGGCGGCCACTCAGAGGCAGGGCCCGGTGGGGTGCTGCCTTTGGGTGGCTGCTCACGGAGGCAGGGCTGGGAAGTGCCAAAGACCTGACTGTCTGACAAACGAACCACCGAACCGGCCGTTCGTGCCCACCTCTAATTCCAAATGCTTCCCCACGCACTCCCACCACACCCCAGGCCCGTGCCTCGTTTCCAAGGCGACCCCACCTTTTCTGGTTGCCTCCTCCATGCACGCCGGCCCCGTCAGCCGCATCCAGAACTGGAGAATCCGGAGGCTGCTCAAAACATAAAGAACAAAGCAACACATTGCGGGGTTCACACATTCCCCTCAAAGAGTGCTTCTGTGTTTACTAGCAACACTCACGGCCTGTTTCTGGAGGATTTGCACATGACCCTTATGGATGCACGAGCCACCTCACACTGAATCAATACCATACAACAGGAGTTGTGCACAGATCCTTATGAATCCGCAGTAAAAACTCCCGGGTGTGGCTTTTTGCTGCCTTTCTGAAAATAGCATTCTTGCCAGCAGCTGCCCGTGTTAACAGTCCTGATGTAATCCATACGTGTGTGTATTCTCGAAGGCTTTCACAGCCGGGATCCAATGGTGGTTGTAGGTTTTCTGGGCTATTTGGCCATGTTCTGGAGGTTTTTCTTCCTAACGTTTCGCCCTAACGTTTCGCCCGTCTCTGTGAAGATGCCGGCTACAGAGACGGGCGACACGCTAGGAAGAAAAACCTCCAGAACACGGCCAAACAGCCCAGAAAACCTACAACAAACAGTTTGTGTGTGTGTTTGCCAGTTGTGGTGTGATCTTCGAATGCCATCAGTTTTCGAGTGGTCTCATCCCTTATAGGTACATATAAAAACACAATAGCTCTGGGATATTGCCCAGAATCCTTTCCGCACATATTTCCACAGGGAACTGCTGCCGGCTAAGAAGTCCCCCTGGCTGAGTGCCTCTGCTTTTTAACAGTAACGTTATCTTTTGCATATATTTGGGAGTGAAATCTACAAGCTCAAAGCAGTAGGAAGGACAAGAACAAACCACACACACACAACACACACACACACACACAAAAGGGACTACTGCCTGAAGAAAAAGGAAGAGAAGAGAGTATTGTAGAATGTAGCCAGTCCTCTATGAGGAAAGCACACCAAAGTGCAAAAATTAATATTAAAAATATATTTTAAAAAGAAACAAGAGGTGTGAAATTCCTTCAAAGGCTCTTAAGGTGAAGTTCTTAGATTCCATAGGTACCTATTCATCCAGTGATAAAAAAGAGGGAGATTCTCTCCCCCCACACACACCTTTTTGATTCCTTCCTGTTAATCTGAAAACTTAAAATAGTAGAGAAGAGAAGGGAAACAAAATGCAAGGGAGATAGAGAAAGTTACAGAAAATTGAATGCAGACTTCCAAAGAATAGCAAGGAGAGACAAGAGAGCCTTCTTAAATGAACAGTGCAAAGAAATAGAGGAAAATAACAGAAAAGGAAAAACCAGAGATCTGTTCAGGAAAACTGGAGACATTAAAGGAGCATTTTGTGCAAAGATGGACATGATAAAGGACAAAAATGGTAGGGAACTCACAGAAGCAGAAGGCATCAAGAAGAGGTGGCAAGAATACACAGAGGAATTATACAAGAAAGATCTGGATGTCCCAGACAACCAGATAGTGTGGTTGCTGGCCTAGAGTCAGACATCCTGGAAAGAGAAGTCAAGTGGGCCTTAGAAAGCTTGTCTAACAACAAGGCCAGTGGAGGTGATGACATTCCAGTTCAACTATTTAACATCTTAAAAGATGACGCTGGTGAGGTGCTACATTCAATATACCAGCAAGTTTGGAAAACTCAGCAGTGCCCAGAGGGTTGGAAAAGATCAGTCTACATCCCAATTCCAAAGAAGGGCAGTGCCAAAGAACGCTCCAACTACCGTACAATTGCACTCATTTCACACGCTAGCAAGATTCTGCTCAAAATCCTACAAAGATGTGGACCGAGAACTCCCAGAAGTACAAGCTGGATTTCAAAGAGGCAGAGGAACTAGAGACCAAATTGCTAACATGTGCTCGATTATGGAGAAAGCCAGAGAGTTCCAGAAAAACATCTA